GAGCGGATTACCAGTCACTGACAGACCGCTTGTCGCAACTTCCGGCTTGGTAGTCACACCAGCCAATGGTGGTCCAGGAGAAGCTGTGCAAGGCGGAGCCATTGTTGAGATTACTGCCTCTTTACCTGCTGGTGTGACTGCACCGGTCACTGGTGTTCCAGGAGAAGCTGGAGGTGGGAGCTGCGGCGGTTACTGGATATATGGCGGTTGCAGTAGCTGCACCAGCCAATGGTAGTGCAGGCGAAGCTGTGCGAGGTGGAAATTTGTCGGAATGACAGCCACCACGGTCCCGAAGGGTCGTCACACCTTTTTCACCAGTTTTTTAATCAAAGTCTATTTGTAAGGGTTACTGACGGTCCTAATCATGAATATGGTACTAATTATTCATGCTAACTCCATTTTGCGCGAATTTTGGAACGTCAACTCGAAATGCAAAAATTTGTCACCACGAGGAATCGAACTAGGGACCCCTTTTCTGGTATTCAGAGGGCCGTTCAGGAAAAATTGAACCATCTGTGGTTCCCGCATGTGCCCCTATATCATGCAAAAAACCGTTTTCAAAAAGCTTGGCACGCCCTGAAAGACCTTCCTGGTTAGTAAACGTGTTAATGTCTACTCACTTTTTCGGGCTGCTGTGTTTTTCCCACTGCTGCTGGGGTCTTCTGAAATAATTCCACATCATAATCCGATATGAGTGCTTGCAATTGCAATGCTTATACATATACAGGAGTATGAGATAAAAGGCAAACCTTATCAGCTTGCGCTTGGGTGGTCACAGGACCAGCCTTTGTCACAGGAGCTGTTTGTAGCACAGTTGGATTCACTGCTGTCGCGGTGAGCGGATTACCAGTCACTGACAGACCGCTTGTTCGCAACTTCCGGCTTGGTAGTCACACCAGCCAATGGTGGTCCAGGAGAAGCTGTGCAAGGCGGAGCCATTGTTGAGATTACTGCCTCTTTACCTGCTGGTGTGACTGCACCGGTCACTGGTGTTCCAGGAGAAGCTGGAGGTGGGGTCGGTGCGGCGGTTACTGGATATATGGCGGTTGCAGTAGCTGCACCAGCCAATGGTAGTGCAGGAGAAGCTGTGCGAGGTGGAATTGTTGTTGATATTACTGGCTGCTTGACGGTTGGTGTGACTGCACCGGCCACTGGTGGTCCAGGAGAGGTTGGATGTGTGGTGGCCACGGGATATACGGCGGTTGCAGTAGGTGCACCGGTTACTGGTGTTCCAGGAGAAGCTGTGCGAGGTGGAACCGTTGTTGAGATTACTGGACACTTGTCAGCGTTGTTCATGGCAGCTGCTCCAACAAGCGGTGTTGCACGAGAATACTGAGATGGTGGTGCGGCTAAAGCGGTTAGTGGAGGTTTGGTGGCTGGAGGCGGAGAAAGGTTAGTAGTGGTCAATCGCTTAGTTTCTGCACCACAAGGTTGTGGGATTGCAGTTGGTGGTGCGTAAAGTGAGTCAGGTGCTGTAATGTTAGGTAGTCGTCCATGCGCAGCAAGGTTTGGTCCTTGCGTGGCTGTTTTAGTGGTTAGTGCACCCATCATTGTATTTAGACCAGGTGAAGGTTGTATAGATGATTGCGTTATTCCATTTTGTTGTGCTTTCAGGGGTGGCGAGATCGGTGCAGCAGAAACTTCTTTCCCATTATTCTTCAAATCTGTTTTCACTTCTGTCTGAAAAGCGTTCATTAAGAAGATTATAAGTTCAGGAACATAGGCGATATACCGTAACCTTTCGACGTAGAGGCGTTGGCACTGGGGCGCGCAATGTCACGTGTCATCGATTTTCCATGCGTGCTCGCCTCCCACTTCTCGTTTTCTCTGCGTTCTCTCAACGAGGAGAGAATGCGTCGAGCAAACTCGCCAACTATATCGAGCGCCGTTTAGCGTAAGATGTGGAGGACTGCACGCATGTGAGACTGGCCTCGCTTAGGTTGGGGCGCACGGGGACCACCTCCCTTGGCTACTGAAACCGCGAGAAGCGGTCGTAGGCCACGCTGTCTACCTTGCTGTCAGGCAAGTCTGGATAGGTGTGCAGCCGGGGTCCCATTGCAATAGGTAGTACGTTGTCCCCGAACTGATAGCCGGTGGCGATCGGTCTACACTGGAAAAGCGAGGAGGACGACCCAGCAATGGAGAACGTCGGCTCTGAGCCCGAGTAGGCGGAGCACCCGCGTGGAGGCGGCCGTGATTTCACCACTGCTCCCCGCCTTGGAGCAGCTGTCATCTTGCCCGCGAGGAACAATCAACCCCTACAGTGTGTCTCAGATGTAATGGGCTCCGCAAAGAGAAATAGAAGTCCCAAGTAGAGGTAAGCCAGCTGACCTGGTCTAGTCTGCCCTTGAGCGAGGTGACCGACGGAGATCGAAAGTGGTGGTGAGTAACTGCGGATGACACAACATATTTTGTTTCAATATGGTGCACTTATCTCACGTGCGTTTTGCTCTATTTCTATGGGTTCATTGTGAGCCGTTCTCGCTCATGATTACGGAGAATTTGAACAGTTAGAATCTACTCGGAGCTGAATGGAGCCGGAGGTTAGGATGCATCGTCCGCGAGGAATGACCTGCCCTTCTGCGAATGCGCAGGGAAGTGCTAGTGCCGCGACAGAAGACTTATCGATCGAAGGTTCGTGGCGATAGAGAGCTGCACGCAGTGCCCACCGCGGATTGCATTATGTAGAGGCACCATTTACGACACTAATTTTGGATGCATACAGAGCTTATTTAGACACCGTGCCTACGCCACTTTGATGTGTGTTTTTCACCCTATCATGTTAGGGGTTCTCTCAAGTACGAATCCTGAAGGCTTCCAGTACCTCAGCGTGTGGGGAGGGGGAGTGGCTTACCAGGACAGAAAGCGACTTTTCCCGTTCTGCAGCGCGGAACATTTCTCACTGCGGAGACCTCAGGTTCACGAACAAAAAACGAAATTTTCGCGACGGCAGCACGGCGCACGCATGAGAAGTCGCTTTCTATCCTAGTGAGCCACACCCCTCTAGGGACTCTAGGCCCAGAGTTCTTGCAAGAGTTTCCCTAGATGAATGCTTAACATATTCCCGACAACGGAGGTGACTGCCGTTTGAATGTTCGCCAAAATAGAGCGCAATCTAAGAAGCACGTAACAGAAGATATTGAGCATCGATGCTGTTTGGTATGTCCCTTCACTAGTAGTCTCACTTGTATCGATCTGCAAAAGTTAGCCGCTAAGACAGAACTTCGAGTACACCCCAAGGGCATGGTCCCTCTAATCCTAACTCTTGGACGATTCGAAATGAGAACACCTCCAACCATGATAACTAACTTAATTACTCCGAGTGTAGTCAGAATGAACACGTCATAGATCAAAAAAGAGACGTAAATAAACTTGCTTTCACAGTGACATTATTATTGTTGCCATTGGGCATACTAAACTGCTCCCTAATTGAGAGTGACTGTTCGTTTCTTATACTGAGGCTCTCTTCTGTTGTTGGTCTTCGACGTCCTGCTAAAATTAAGAACCTAATCAGCGCCATTTGAAACTATTTTACTGTTAATGCGGTTCAATAGATCATAGATGTTAGATTGGTAAAATCATGAAAACCGTTCTAAGAGAATACACCAGATCCGCGGTGACTGGGTACCCTTCGCACACGGTCACTCCACCCGACAAGGAGATTAATGCATTTGAATCAAAAAAACAGATGGGCTTCAGTGATCTGATACATTACGCTTCTAATGGTTGAAAATAAAGTTTTGAACCACCCCAAGGCCGGACTGCGAAATATTTTGTTAATTTTATTCTGTGATGCCCTATCAGTTGCTATCGCAGTCAACAACAAATTCGGGCAATTGATTGATAGCACATTTGTACAAATGACGGAATTCCCGTGGAAACATTGGAGTCGCATTTGCCGGTTCTTTTCCGTGGTCTAAGGTCAGCTTTTTGTTCTCCAGGTGATGCGGCGAGCAGGAAAAAATGAAAGTTGCGGTGATGGTGTTTGGCGATGTGGCGGATGGCTAGCGCGTCAAGCCGAGTCGTCGAGAACTGTTTCGGTTCGTGACAACGCGCGGACGCGAGTCGTCGTGAAGCAAACTGAGTTGTCACTGTTTTTCGTAGTTTTTTCGCAACCGTTTCGAGCAGCTGGCTGAGTAGCGCTTGTCGTCTCCGCCTGTGTTCCGAGACAGAACATCACCCATGGATAATGCCAATTATCACAATCCAAAAATTTGACAGCATCATCATTTCCCCATAAATGTCAGAGCGAGCAGTGTAACTCTAATTTCGCCTACTCCCGTCCACTGCTGATCCGTGTATGGGATAATTACGGCAGATCCGCTGTCTTCGCCAATGCCAATTGGCCGCAATCTATAGCCTCTGCACAGATGTTAGCCGGTGAAGTCGTGCGGTATCCATTGACCACATTTCCAAGACTTGACTAATTTCTGAAAAGCCTTAAAGGCAAAAGTCGGGCTCAATAAGGGGTATTATGGCGATTGAAATTGAGTATAGAGATGCGAAGTAAAGAGCACGACAGTGGTGAAAAAACTGAGAAAAACCGTCGACAAGGCCGTTAACAAAACCCATCTTCCCCACTAGCAATGAAGGAGGCTGGCTTTATTTTTTGTTTTTTTTTTTTTTTGTTTTGGGGAAGAGGCACGTACAAACAAGTTTTCTGAAGATATCAGTCGTTCTATCGGTTGATACGGCAATCAACCTAGCTGATTTCACACGTTATGCCAGCCATGCACCACATCCCAAGGTGGGCGGTCGTAGCGGGGCCAGGCGGCGATAGCGCATAGTACATGCCCTGGGGCCTTATTACTGCGCCGTTTCGGGTTTTGAGTGTGGGAACATCTCTACGGGTGCGTAACCAAGTACAGGCATGACCGGAAGGTTTCTAATCCCGATCTTTGCCTTTAAGGAAATGTATTTGAATGCGCTCAAGATGCTCTGCTAGATGGTGTAGCTGTGATTTCTTCGAATCATCTTCGACAGCATGAACGACGTCAAGATGGACAGTAGTCGTGCGTTGCGTCAGAGGGATTACAGTTCCCATGGCGAAGTTATACGAAGCTATAATAAAACCGCCTTGTTAGAGATCCTGCCTTAGTCTATCACGGCACTGGTCCTGAGTTTTATGATATGTCTCATGGGCGATGACTCCAGGCGAGGTTCGCACAAGGTGAGCGCTCAAATGGTCCCGCGGAGAAGCTGATTTTGTGCAATGCAAACGCCATTTTGGAGCAACTGATTGGAGCACACCGTACTCAGCAGAAAGCGCTCCTTTTATGTACTGCCCATGGAAGATTCCAGAGCATTCAGTAAAGATTCCAGAAACACCGCAAACTAAGTGACTCAAAACTTTCTTTCCAACCTAATAAATGAGTCTCGGAAAGGGCGAAGAAGATTTACGAATATTTTCAAATTTCAAATATTTTCATTCTAAGAGTTATTATCTCAAGATTCGCAATACGGTCTCCTGTGATATGATCATTTCAAGTGAATGCTCTTGTAAAACAGCAAACCTTAGATTTTTCTCTAATCGAATGATCTTCGAAATCTGCTGGTTTTCTTGTCTGAATAAGTGTCAATGGTAGCACGAAACGAATTGAAGTGAATGCATAAATAAAAAGCATAAAGTGTTTTGTAACGTCGGTCTAAGTCTAGGAATTCTAGAACCCCACTGCAATTTTGCTTTTTCGTTCAAAGAGAGCCCTCCTTCAGTGGACGTCTACGCGGTCTGGTGAGTCTAGGTGATACAAGTTGGAATGGCCTATATTGGAGTGAAGGGTGGCCAAACGTCATTCAGTCATAGCGCGTCAAAGGCGCTCCCTGACTACTGTTTTGCTGTGCTGAGTCGTCGGGATGTTTCGTAATCACGGCAATGTGCGGCGCGGCTAAAAAATACCCCCCCCCCCCCTTTCTTCATAGCTTTGAGCGCGGCCGTTGCGAGCGCGGCCGAGACAGCGCCCGCGAGCTGTGCAGGTAAATTTGAAAACACCCTCAAAGAGCCCACCAAGTGTGCTGATGGAGCGTTTCCAAAATGAGCTGCACATTTCACGGGCACCACCTACTCGTCCGCGCACGACGCGGTCGGCCCGAAAGTAGTGTGGAGAAAGTGGGAGAGCCGTGATGCGCTCTGCGTACTAGGTGTGATTTGTATCCCCATGTAGCACTGTCAAAACCTCGACACCCTCAGAGTACTAACCGTACACACATCCACAACTATAATTCGACAGGTTATTGAGTACAGTGACACCCAAATAGCCGAGGCTCAATCATGCGTGGAGAGAAACTCAGTAATCATCACTCTGGCAGTAGGCTTGCCTTCTATGTTAAAATTTGCAACTGATCTGTCAAGCAGAAAGTATTACCTCGAGAAAGAGTTCCACCGAAGAATTTGAGCGCTACTGCACATGCATATCGGTACCGTGATTCAGCCTCGCTGAATATTTTACGAACAACTTGTGAGTTGCCTAACATGTGTGGGAGCTCATGAGAAATTGATTTACAACGAGAGGAGTATGTGGTGAAAAGTCTGACAATTTCCATGGGAACGGTCCTGAGCAAATCTCGGAACAAAATCCCCCTACGCCAAAACCTTTCCATCCCTCCGGAGTCGCTCATAACTTAGCGGAGAGCTCTGCATTTTTTCTTTTGACACAGTCTCATTCTTCTTAACCAGATAATCCACTTGGCATTCCTGC